CCATGAAATGAAGTAATGCATAAAATTGATAATAAACGGATATCTCTCTGCCTCTGCATGCAAATGAGCACTTAGCACCAGGGCACAGATGCCACCATTGTTTCCCCCCTGAAAATGACAAAGTAAGTGAAAATATCTACCAAGGGCTTAGAAAGTACGGTAGCTGCATTTTCTTTATTTTTTAGATTTTCACAGAGTTGGAAAACCAAACTGTCTTGCCAACTTTTAGAAAAGGGGCTGGATAATGCAGGGATAATGTCCAAGGTCATGAGTTTTTGTTGGGTTTCTTTTTTCTTTTCATTTTCTTTTCTCTCTTTAAGATAAAGAATGTAGTTATTAATGGTTCTCTTCCAATTTCATGTGTTCAGTTTTGCCATCCTCATTTTTGTTTTGGGAACAAAGGCCGTATTTTATCTCCATGTTTTGCTTTCTTCCCCACCTTCTCCTCACAAAAAAGTACAGCTAGAATCAATGTATAATACCCATTAATGTGAAGTTATAACTATTAATACTTCAGATCTGGTTGCAGCCTTGGCTTTTATCTTTATTTGTTTTCTGGTTTTAACTTTTAACTAACAAATATGTCAAAGGTATAAAACCATTACTTAATGTTTTAGAAGTCTTAAGCGGGTTTTACTGGATTCTGCATATTCCCAAATCAGAGAGAGCTTTTTAAGAGTTATGGAAATTGATATAAGTGGCTTTTTATTTTGTGAGCTAATCCTTTCCCTTGCAGGGATTATCTAAATTCCCATTCATTTCATACAGAGATCTGACTGGGAGAAAGAAAATCTAAATAGATAAAAATGATTAGCTTGATCATTTTTTATCCTTGCTCCTTAACTAATACAACAGTTAAAAGTTAATTGCTGCATAAGATGGGCATGTTGAGGATCTCATATTCAGTACTGGTCCATGTTCATATTTAGAAACCATCTTATCTTGGATTTAGGGAAATCAAGGCAGATTATCAATGCCAATGCTATTGATGTGACCTCAGCTGCTCAGGGTCAGTTGGCATCTTGGGTTTTTTTTCTTCCTCTTGCTCTCTACTAGAGAAGAAATTTCATGGAAATTTGAAATTTCATACTTACGCACTGATGAAAGATCAGCTGGTAGTTTAAAATTTTCTTCCCTGTCACCAGCAATGAGACTGGGATGCGGTGAACAAGTTATTCCTCTTTCCTCCTTAAACTAGAAGAGTTGGCATGGGAAATTCATTCTCCTCTATCTCCCAGCATCATAAAGAAGCAGCAGGTATAGTGATTCAAAATCTATTTCTGTCTGATGGTATTTATCTGCCATCATAAAATGTGGATACATATCTATTTGTGAAAAATGCTTAACCCTCCTTCCAAATTCTTAGGTTTGGGTGATTGTTTGTGGATTTAGACTGTGACCATTGTCATTACTAAGATCCAATATTGTTTTGTGACTTCAAAAGGTGTGAGTGTAAGTGCCAGTTGCTGAGCTGACAAAAATTCTGGTAAGAAATAGTGCATGTAGGAAGTCAGTTATTCCAGGAAGAGCTGCAGGAACTGAAGCTTGTGAGACTGTAAATCCATAGTGGCACATTAACTGTTTGATAGAAGGGAAAGTTTCTACAGCTTTCCTGCAGTCACCTCATCAAGCATACTTGTGAAGAGTATGATTTGCAAAAAGTATTGCAATCCTTTTGTTGCCCAGAGCTGCTGAAATGTTGCTCACAAGCAATTTTTCTTTACAGATACAAGACATGATATGGCCATAAGTGTATTTACCTGTACATTACATAAGTAAAGTGTTTGCCAATTAAACGGACAAACATGAGCATTTGTAAAATATACTGGTTTCTATACCTTGGCTTAGTTGGATAAAGTTGCCTTTAGTTTTATCAAATAGCTTTTCAAATCCAGGTGTTCTCCTTCACACTATGTTAAATTTTCCCACACACTCCACAAAAGTAGAGTTCGTGGTCTCATGAGAAATTCATAGACATTTAGAACTATAGGCTCAAATATGGATCAGGTTTCCAAATTATTTCAATTCCAAGATCCGTTGATCAAAGGAAGAACAGTGAGCGTGTTAATAGGTTATTTTCATTGACAAATGATTAACAGGAATAAGAATCAGAATTCTAATGAGAACAAATGGCACTCAATCAGGTTTGTGATGGGAGTCTTTTAAATATCCAAAGGCTTTCCTTTCATAGAGAATCTGGTAAAAGACAATCTGTTCCAAGAAGGGCCCCTGAAAGTGTACATACATAATGGAAAGGCATTAGAAAGGGGGTAGGTAATGGATGATAAGTTGAACTATGTAAAACATTAGCAACAAATCTCCAACCGTACAAATTTGCATGGTAGAGTGTTGAGTGATTCTGAGAAAACCAAGACAGACTTACACTGAAACATAAAAGTGAGGAGACATTTGTGTTTTGATGTGAAACTCAGAGATATTTGACAATCTTTCTTTGAAAGTTTGGGGTTTGTTCAAACTTGACCTTTGAGGTGAAACTCAGGAGTATAAAGAACGCACTTCAATCAAAACAGAAAATGAAGTTCACATGGACTGCTGAGAACCAACCTAACTCTTAAAGAAGTATGATGCCAGTCAGTTGCCATATAAGTCTTCAAATACCAGTTTGCATTCACCAGCTTGCATTTCATTACCAATTCTGATAAAATTGGAGCAAATTGAAATTGAACTTCAAATTCAAACTGTACCCAAATATTTATGAAGTTCAAAAATAGTCCCATTAGTACTGCTGGTTGCTTTCCAAATGCACTTATGTCATGCCTCTTGCTTTGGCCAGAATATTGTTGGAATGAAGGCCAAGGTCACATCATATTCATCCTAACTTCAGTAAAGAAATACTGGAAATCTTACAATAAATAGTGTTTATAATGTTTTTTTCAGGAATATTTACCCATCAGACAATTTGGGCTTCGCTTCCTTATTCTCAGGAACAAGCTACTTTAGTGTTTTACCTTCTCACCAGTGTCTCTAATTTCTTCCTGAGGGATTGTACTTGGCAAGTGAACAAAAGCTGTTGGCAGAATGTGGACTTTCTTCACTTGTTTATCATGAATGACTATAGTACTTCCTTTGTCTGTGTTACATATTTAGCTAGTACGCACTTTGGGGCATGAGCTGTCCATTACTATGTGTGTTCACTATGCCCAGCACAACGGGGTCCAAAGTAGCGCAGTACCAAAACCAAATGATAAATACCAATAATAAAAGAGTGGCTGCACTTTTTGTGCAAAGCAGTGTGTCTAGCAGCCTGCAACAAATGAATACACTCAATATGTTTGTTTTGATATCCTATCAAGATATCAAAAAGAGCAGACATAACTTGTAGCCTAATGTATGCCATTTACAGTAACATCTCTGTGCCCTTTAAGTTGAATATCCAAAGTTACCTTGCTATGAATGATTTCTGATATGAACCTGCTACAAAGAGTACTCAGGTGGCTTGCAGGGAGCTGCCGTAGAGCCTTAAAACCAGACTAACCTAACAACAGAACTTAACGAATCTGGAACCGATTGAAAATTATTTACAAATAATTGAAAATACTTTGCAAATGGAACAAAATCATGGACTGAAAAGCATCATCTTCAGACAACTTTAATGTTCAGTGAGTTATCAAACAGTGTTGCAGCTTTCTTATTTCTAAGTATTTTACTGTGTACTTTTGACAGCATTGATAAACCTCTACAAATTGTGGCACTAAGGTGTAACCAGGCAGGTGAGTGAGTGGTTTCTCTCTATAACTTTGCCAGGCATACATAGGACTATAAAATTAGTATCTGTCTGTGCTTTCTTTTACAGGTGTAGCATGACTACTAAATCTCCCATATATGGAGCTCAGCTCAGGGAGGTCCTCTTCCCATATCTTTACTTTTATAGAAGAATACAGTATCCTGTGCATAAGAGAGTGAGCAGTGTTATGACTACAAAGATGCACTAAACACCACCTTGGAAGAACTGGTTAGTAGCAGGCCCACCAACAAGGAGGTAGTGGGGTAACAAAGGGGGCAGTTGCCCCAGGACCCAGCAATTCAAAAGGGCCCAAGGCTCCCAAGTGCTACTGCCCCTATTGTAGGAGCAGTAGTGGC